CTGGACAATCAACGGCTGAAAATTCAGACATCTTGGGACACTAATTTCAGTAGCCTCGTTCCTAACACCCATTATGCTTGTTAACAAACCTCTGTGTGACAGAAATCGGAAGCATTAGGTAGCAGGCTTTGCTTACCATCACTTGAGGATGTGCTCTGGCTAAGAGCATGTAGCCATTCTGAGCTTACAGATCAAATCTAATTACATACACATCCATATCACAGTGATTCCGCCTACATCTTTAAAGTAAATTATAGACCACAAAACAAGCTGTCACCGAAATGATTTCTTAAATGAGGGACAGAAAGCCAAGTTTAATGGAAGGGAATGAGGCTATCTCTTGGACAATGGGCATAGGGATGAAAGAAGGATGATGAATGATAAAAATTAGGAATAAATAAGAGAAAATAGAATTTTAAGGGAATGGAATGAAATGGCATGGGGATGAAAGAAGAATTATTAATGACAAAAGTAAGAAATAACTGAGAGAAAAAAGGAAAAAAAAAAGAGAAGCTACAGCCCATTACTTAAAGTTTCCTTAATTTATTGCTTTAAATAAAAGAGGGTTGTAAATATTTTAAAAATGTGGACATCATCGGTATAAACTCAAGTGAGCTCTGAAAAGCCTACCTAGCAGATGGATTACTGAAATTAGTGTCCAGATCATTCACTTGATGCTAGGCTGCCTACTATTTACTCCACGGTGTCTTTGTTTCTTAATCTGTGTAATAGGAACAGTAATCCCTCTGTGAAGGAATTCTCTAAAAGGAAACACAAACTCAGCAGGTTAAGACATCTAACATTGGCGCACTTCTGTCCCCTAGTGGTGATTTTTAGAACTTTGTGGGCAGTCTTTTAAGTGAAAAAATAAAATGTGCTATACTCTAAAACAAAACCTGACCTGCCTTCCTTGTAATGCACACTAGCTTTTTAATTGTTAATTCTCTTGCCTCCTCAGTGCTTTCTTCCTCCTACTACTATCACATGCTGCAGGAAATTTTATTTATTCTAGAGGAATTGTAGTATATTTTTCATTTCTACTTTTCCTTCTTCAATTGGCACGGATTTGGGGAGTATAGCAATGTTTTTGTGTCATTAATACGACCTTTTAGGAGCTGTGACCATAGAGCAAACAAAGCTATGGGAGAGCTTCAAAAGTCCAGCTGGAGGTCATTTAAATATCTGTAATTGGGCCTCCCTGGTGGCTCAGGGGTTAAAGTCTCAGTGCAATCAAACTATTGCCAGCCACTGAGCGTGAGTTCAATTTTCAGCCAGGGAGCTAACACACATGGTGCAGCAGACCTCTCCTGTCTTGCCAGCTGCTCCCCTCAGAAGTGTATTTCAGTCAATATGCCTGTTCTTCTCCCCACTCTGTCTCTGGTGAATCCTCTCACCACCATTCCCCCTACCCCTGCACCTCTGGCCTACACCCCAGCTCTTAGCTGCATAAATCAATAAAATAAATCTTTAAAAAACAAACAAATATCTGTAATTGCATTGACACCAGCAGGTAGAGAGAATATGAAAATAATTTCAGATTGAGTGAAGCAGTAAATAGATTGATTAGATTTAAGGAGCAAAGCAATTGACTTATTGAACTTCACCCATCCTGATTAGGGGGTAGGGAAAAGTTCAATGCATTAGAGGGTTTTCTTTTTAAAAAATTAATTTGTTAAATGTATTTTTCCTGAAGTAACTTTGAAGATAAGTTTCTATAGTCTCCCTTGCTACAGTGTTATACTTCTACCTCTGTTATAGTCCCCACCACAAGTCTAGTTTCCACCCACCTCCACACAATCAACTCCCATTGTGACTTTTAATGGACTCAATGCAATTGGTAGGACAAACTTCTTTTAAAAATATCATATATTTCCCCACTTTTCATGACTGTAAGTGTGAGTGGGAGAGGAAAGCAAAAGGAATAGGGAAAGAGTAAGCAAATGTTTCAGAAATTGGTCGGTGGTGCACGGAAAGAGGAAGGAGAAAAGCCCATACAATCAACTCTTGCTTGGACCCTTGGTTGACTTGATGCCACCTCCAGGGCCCTTCCCCTAACATGTGACCTTGGCACCCTTGTTTTACCTCTTAGCTAACTAGGGTCTCTGTTCTAGACATCCCCTTAGTGGGTCCTGGTCAGGACCCCATCGCCACCCTTAATGTCTGGATCTTTCTCGGCTACACTTTCTTCTGCTGATGTTATCTCAAGCTTGGGCCTGAATCAGATTATAATGTGGCTGAAATTTCTTTCTAATTCAGGAGCCCTGGAAAGAGAATTAGGAGTTTTCAATTTGGTAATTTACCAAGCCACAACCTTTTGGAGCCTCGGTTTTCTCATCTGTGGACTAAGTATATCTGTCTTCCCTTGATCATAGGAGGTTACAAAGATCAAATGTGCTTATAACAGGTAAGACTGGTATCACTGAAAGCAGGGTCATTAATACTAGCATGTCATAAGCTGCCGCCGCCCGCCTTCCCCATAAGGACTATGGTGCTCTCAGGCTCTCTCTCCTTCCTGCCTATCTTTTCCCTTCCCCTGTCTCAGCCTGTTCTTTGTCCATAATTGCTGTTTACACCTTAGTGTACTTACACCTTTATACTATTAAATCCAAGATAGTTATATCTTGTCCAGAGAATTGAATAAATTAATAAATCTGAAACACTTAGCTAATGCTGGCGCTTGGTAAGCATTAGCTAGTATGCTTCCAATTGTCTAAAAAATCCAAACCATTCATAAATTTAATTTAAAAAATTTAAAATTCTACTCAAGCCCCCCCTTCCTACTTTAACTTCACCCTCTTCTCCATAAGCGACTGTGACGACCTTTCAAGAGTTTTTAATGTTATCTTTTCTGAATCATGGGATTATAATATACTCACTATTTGGCAACCTGTTTTTTCCCCCACTTAAACATGTACTTAGGAGATATTTCCAGACCACTGCGTACTGTTACTTCCTTGTTCCTATGGTTTCCCAGTATGCCACAGCATGCACCCACTCCACAATTTATTTAACCAGTGTCTTATTGATGGACATTTGGGTTATTTCCAGTTTTCCACTATTATGTTCACTTTTACACATTCTTTTCATTTTGTAATTCAGAACCATCCAGCTGAAGCCCAAGAGGGCTTCCTCATTTTGCCACCACAGCTCATTTCCTATTGAGCAAAGCTTCTTCCTCAGGTCGGCTCTTGACACACCCTGCCGAGGTGGGGGCTTTTTCCACAGAAAGAAGAAGTGGAATTATCTTTCCTGGGCCTTAGCGGTAAACACACTTATTCCCCTGATGGCAATGCCCACACAGCCTCACTGCCCCTGGGCTCCAGACAGCTTCACCTGATACAACAACATCAACATCACATTGCCCCGGTGGGGTTGGTTGCTATTCGCAAGTTATAACTGCTCTGACAACAGACAGGATACCTTGTGATGACATACTTTACCACCTCATTGAAAAGATGAGTGTTCCCAGCTGTGTCTGCTTCCTCAGTGTTGCCCCGGTGTGTGCCCTTGTTTTCAGGGGTCACTGGATTATGGTTCTCTTGTCAGGAATGCTTTTTCCTTTCTCTTTTCAGTGGACAAATATCCCTTTGAGGGCAAACTGAAAGCTGACCGCATTTTAGAAATTTTCCTAGTTGCTCCAACCTACACTAATTCCCTTCTGAAGGTCTTCAGCAAGATGCCTTCTAAATGCATAGTTCCCAGTGAGGTGAACTCCTGGACTACACGCTAATGGCCACAGAGCCAGGGGCTGCAGGAAGGTTTACAATAAAAGGCCACAGTATACCTCTATCTTATAGAAATAATGTCATCATGGCGGCGGGGAACCTCCTGAGTTGGTGAGAAGGCCTTCATCTCCAATGGCTTTCAATTTTTTATTTTAGTAGCAGAGCCTTTAACAAATATCTCAAATGAAACTCACAAATGGGAATAACTTAAAAACATAAGAACTGAACTGCTGTGGTTAAATTAGGGGTGTCGTTCTACCTCCTGTTCTGTCACTCTGAAACAGTTTCCAGTGCCTGTTCCCAGCCCCCTCTGTCAGGTAGACTGACTGAAATACACTGCTGAGGGGGAGCAGCGGTTAGACAGGAGAGGTCTGCTGCGCTATGTCGGTAGCTCCCTGGCTGGGGATCGAACTCGTGTTGCAGTGGATGCGAACCACTTCATAGGTTGCATCCTAACCCCTTGCCACCAGGGAGGTCCCCCAGCTTTTTTCTTAATGTGAGTGCTGGACTTTACATTTCTCTCCATCCTTCATCCTGTTTGTTTTAGTCTAATCATGAAAATATCAAATCCT